CCTGCTGCCCCTTGAGCATCTGCAGCTCCTGCAGAACCAGGCATTTCTTTGCTCCCCACAGGGTGGTTCCCACCCCCAGAATGGAATCTGGAGGCAGCAGGATGTGCACAGTGCTCCCATTTCCTACAGTGCAAAGGGGCTGCAGGGAATGATTCCCCTGCTCTTGCAAATCTGCCAAAACCTGCAGGGCACAGAAGTGGGAGCTTCAGGAATTTGCTGGCCTTGGGAGTGGAGCTAACAGGGTATTGAGAGGAACATATCCCTCAAATACAATCTCTCTGCATACACAATATCTGTCTGGACAGACAGATAAAGCAATAATCAGATATCTTCTGTATCATATATATGGCACATATTCTATAGAATCTATCCTTAGGTGTTGTATGGTAGATCTGTAAGATATTACAAATAATAAGCAATAATAAGGCAAGTGTCCTCCTTAGGGACACACACTTCAGAAGGGAACTTCCACTTGACCCCCCCCCTTCAGCTTTGAGCCACCCGGTGCCACAGAGGGGGACAGAGCTCCTGTGGAACATTCTATTCCACTGACACAGAGCAAGGAATAAACCCAAACTATTGCCTGGGTTTGTTCCCTGGGGGTCTCTGCAGCAGCAAGCCCAGCCCCACACTGACTGCTCTGGGCTGTGCAGGCATTTGTGCTTCTGCCTGTCTCACACACACACACAAAAGTCTGGTGTAGTGCTGCCCTCACGAAACCCCCCCCAGCCTTGTTCCAGCTAAAGCCGTGGAATTTGTCTTTGTTTCCCTTGGGTTCAGGGTCAGGTTGTGCCTGTGTCCAGCCCAGAGGCTCAGAAAAGCATTTCTCCCGTCCCACTGCAATCTGCTGCTGCAGACAGGACCCAGGCACTGGTGGCACTGGGAGTGAACAGCAGAGTGTTTCCAGGGGCTCTCTGAAGGAACACAAGTGTCCAAAGAAACCAGCACAAGTGTCCACAGAAGTCCCAGTCCTTCATCCCTGAATGAGCTCGTTCAGCCCAGGAAAAACTGTCTGGGTTTTATTTCCATGGAAGGAGCTTTTTCCCACTTGAACACCAGTTTAGTTCCAAACCAGTTTCTTCATTTCCTCCTCCCAATTTCCCTGAAGGACACTGACAGGGACCATGGACACTGACAGGGATGACAGAGTTTGTCCCTTGGCCATACAGCTCCTGCTGTTTGGCAGCACAGGAGAGGTTAATTAGAGCCCAGGCTCCAATCCCAGGGCGCGCCTTGGATCAGCACTTGGGGATACAAACTGACCTTGGGCTCAGGATGCAGCTGCCAGCAGAGATTTCCCTGCAAATTCTGCAGTGAGTCAAGCTCTGGAGAGGAGATTGTGCCCCACAGATGGGATTGCAGAGGCTCCCTCAGGTCCCCAGCATGAACCATCACTCTCTGCAAGTCCCTGCCAGGAGGTTGTAGCCAGGTGGGGGTGGGGCTCTTGTGCCAGGAAGCAGCAGTAGGACAAGAGGGCTGGGTCTTGAGCTGTGCCAGGGGAGGTTTAGGTTGGATATTGGGAAGCAATTTTGTACAGAGAGAGTAATGAGGCCTTGGAATGGGCTGGGCAGGGAGGGGATGGAGTCAGCGTCCTTGGAGGTGTTGAAGGTGAGAGTGGATGTGGCCTCAGTGCCATGGTCTGGGAAGCACGGCGGGGTTGGATCCAGGGTTGGACTTGATGATTGGGGTGGTCTTTTCCAACGTGGCTGATTCTGTGATTCTGTGATTCCCATTCCTATGGCAGCACATGCTTGAGGCTCTGTCCACAGGGTGATAGAGATGTCTGTCCATATATATCTGCAAGGTTAGTCTGTAAATGTGTGGTGTTAGAAAAGCAGGCAAAGTTCTGGGATGGTTGTAGAAAGAGAAAGAAGCCCAGAGGCCAGTGCAAGCAGGCAGCCCTCAGCTTGCACATCATGTCCCCTCCGTGCAGGTTCCTGTCCTTGAGCCCAGGCCCTGAGGTGAGGCTGAGAAGTGGCGCGGAGGTGAGCCCAGAGCTGTCCCTGAGGTGAGGCTGAGAATGAGTGCAAGGCAGAGGTGCTACTGAGGAAGGAGACCCCCGTGGTGGGGAACAGAAAAAAGCTGTGGGTGCCCATCCCCAAGAAGGTGCTGTCTTCATCTCCTGTGTGCCAGGTGAGCTGGGGCTTTGCTGCAGAGCTGCGGGCGCTGATTTGAGCGGCTCCAAGTGCTGAGATGGTGGCACCCAGGAACACAAACTGTGCCTGGCCACGGAGCCTGCAAGGAGGAGCAGAGACAGCCCTGGCAGTGTGGGGGGCCAGGTTGTCCCTGTGCCTTCCCCTGCAGGCCCTGGCTGTCCCTGCTGGGCCCCTGTCCATCCCCATCAGGTCCCTGCCCGTCCGCCCCGGGCTGAGCTCCCCCCAGGAAGTGCCGTGGAGCTGAAGCTGCTGCCATCCCCCCCCCTGCAGCCGCTGGCCCAGGCAAGGGAGCAGCAAAGGCAGGGCCAGGAGCAGAGGCAGCAGCAGGGGAGCCCTGGGGGGGCCGGGAAGCTCTTGTGTGGGGCAGGAAAGAGGCGCTGGGCACGAGGCCGGGGCTGTGCTGAGCAGGCCCAGCCCTCACATCCCCCCAGCCAACGCCGGCTGCCCGGGGGGCTTGGGAGGGACCCCCAGCCCGTGTGCCCCACACTCAGCTGGCAGGGAGAGAGCCAAGGGACAGGGCCATGGGTGAGGGACAGGCAGGGCCATTGCAGGGCCACGGTGAGGGCACAGCCTGTGGCAGCAGAGCTGCCCAGGGCCGGGGGCAGCCGGGGGTGTTGGGACCAGCCAGTGGTGGGGCTGAGCAGAGCACGAGGCCTCTTGCAGAGCCCTGGAGCAGCCTCCCACTTGCCAGCCCCACCCTGGTGGGGTGACACTGTCCCCTCCCTCCAGGACACTCCCCCAGAAATCTTCAGGGAGGGCCTTTTGTGTCTATTCCTCATTGCTGATTGATGCTGGGGACCTGATGGCCCCTCTGCAATCCCATCCATGGGGCACAATCTCCTCTCCAGAGCTTGACTCACTGCAGACTTTGCAGGGAAATCTGTGCTGGCAGCGGCATCCTGAGCCCAAGGGCAGTTTGTATCCCCGAGTGCTGATCCATCCTGGGGACCCAAGGGATCCTCTGCCATTCCATCCATGCAGCAGGAGTCACCCTCCTGCCCTTGACTCTCTGCAGAGGAACAAGTGCCATCTCTCTGTTTGGGAGAAGCCAGATGCTGCCCCTGGGCCATCAGAAGTGGTGCTGAAGCCTCTTTCAGCCCAGCCCCGGGTGCAGTTTTCTCATCCCCTCAGCGAGTGCCCGCTCCCCCAGCTGGCACTGACCAACCAGGGCGTTTGGCACACGTGGTTTGGTGGTTTGGAGAAACAGCCCTGGACAGGCAGGGGGCCAGAGAAGCTCGAGTGACAGCCCTGGAGAGTTTGAAGTGACACTACATTAATACAGGTTTTGATTAATATATTGCAACTCAATCAGGTGCTCATGAAGTAACATCGCTTTCCTTATCCTCCCAATTAAACACTTTTCTTTGAGTTGAATGTTCATATTTGGAGTTCTTTTTGGCTGAAATTTAACTTTTTGTAGTTTGTGAGGAGGCTCATCTTGCTATTTCTAAGAGGTTTTTTACCTGAATCTTGTTGGTTTCGAATTTCTGGGCTGAATCTTGGTGTTTTGGTGGATTTTATGGTAACAGGATGCCTGGTGAGTTCTAGAGATGGACTTGGGCAGCAGGAACCCCCAAGCCAACATGCTCAGCCCTTGTTTCTCCCCCATCAGGATTTGTCCTTCCCAAAGCTTGGGCGGATGGAGGAGGAGGCTGCGAGGAAGAGGAAGATGCCTTGGGCCCCCCAGGCAGGTGAGGAGGAAGTCAGTGGCCCTTTGGGCGGGTGTTGTGCTGGCTCTGGCAGCCCAGCATGGCCCCCGGCTGCAGGACAAACCCGCTGCCGCCGCCGTCCTGCCGGGGCCGGAGTTGGGGGGATGTCCTTGGCCTTCCCTGTGGTCCGGAGGCAAATCCCCTCCCTGTCCTTCTTGCTTCCTGCCCCAGGCCCCGAGCTGAGGACGGAGAGCCTGGAGGACAAATCCCCCTGTGAGAAGCTGGTGGGAGAGGCCGTTTTGAAGGGCTCCACGACGCAGGAAGGCAGCGGGGAGGAAAAGGGCCGGAGATCCTCCCGCAGGAGGGGCTCCAAAGCCAGCCCAGGGTGCTCTGAGGAGGAAAGACCCAGCCTGTGCCGGGAAGGCGGCCGGAGGTCTGAGCTGGTGGTCCCTGAGCAACCTCCCAGCAGGGAGAAGCGCTTCAGGTGCTTGGAATGTGGGAAGAGTTTCAGGAAGAGCACCGACCTCCTCAAGCACCAGCACATCCACACTGGGGCACGTCCCTACACTTGTAGGGAATGTGGAAAGGGCTTCAGCCAGAACTCCAACCTCCGCAAACACCAGCGCATCCACACTGGGGAACGTCCGTACACATGTGGGGAATGTGGGAGGAGCTTCAGGAACAGCTCCCACTTGATCCAACACCAGCACATCCACACTGGAGAATGGCCTTACACATGTGGGGAATGTGGGAAGGGCTTCAGTGACAGCTCTGGCCTCCGCATCCACCAGCGCATCCACACTGGGGAACGGCACTACAAGTGCTTGGAATGTGGGAAGAGGTTTCAGACCAGCTCACATCTCCTCCTGCACCAGCGGACACACACGGATGAGAGGCCCTTCCGCTGCACTGACTGTGGGAAGGGCTTCAAGCACAACTGCCACCTCATCAGGCATCGGCGCATCCACACCGGGGAGAGGCCCTACAAGTGTGGGGAGTGTGGGAAGAGCTTCACCCACAGCTCTGCCTTGACCTCACACCAGCGGACTCACCGATAAAGGAAGCCCTTGAGTGCCCTGACTGCGGGGAGAGCTTTGGCCGCTGCTTCCACCCCAAATGAACCCCCTGATGGTGAGGCAACCCCTGGAGTCCAGTGACTGTCAGTCCATCCCTTTCTACCAAAAAGGGCCAGTCCCCTTTCCCAGGGGCAGCTTCTTCCAACAGAACCCTTCTTGGGGTGTGTGTGGAGATTCCTGCCTTGGCTGGGGAACCCCCAAGGTCACTGCTGGAGGTTGAGAGCAGAGATCTCCCCACCAGTGTTGGTCTGGGGGAGTTCCATCCATCTCTAATTAAGAATTCTTGCTTTTGTGCCAGCTTGAGTAGAATTGCTTCAAGACTTGCTTTAGTGTAGAGCACTGTCCTATCTTATCCTGTACTCCTGGTAGTTTTAGTGTTTCTATTGTGCAGTAAATAATTCTGATGAAGATCTTTTGTCTGATCATTTGGAACCCTAAATAAATTCATTTCTGTCGATAGATCTGATTTGCCATCATTAAAAGCTGGGGGACAAAAGTGGTTCAGTCACACCTCTGTAATTCCTCTAAACTGAAAGTGTTGTCATAATCCAAGGCTGAGACTGGATCCAGCAGCCCCCAGCACCCCACAGTAAGTTGGGAGCTCAGGGGACCACCCCCCTATGCCAACCCTCATGTGTCCAAAGACCCCTATTGGACCGTTGGACCCAGCAGACCACCCGCCTTTTCCACCCTTCTCCCTGTTACTCCCGCTTTCCCATTCTCCCCTCAATTCCTGGTTTCCCCTGCGAACAGTTTTGGGGTCCCAACACCCACTTTTTCCCCTTCTCCTGTGGGTGCTGAAGGAGAAAATGAGGCTGCACACACAGAGTTCCATTGTGGGACTTGTCCACCGACACTTTTCCATGTCCCCTTTTATTCCTCTTCTCTCATGAGCAGCACCCACTGTTTGTTTTTTAGTCCACCAGAATTCCCAACATCGCCCCAAAGCAGTGCCCTGATCCCACACATTCCCCTCGCCTCATGTTCTGGCTGTGTTCAACCACCAGAGAAAAACACAGGCTGGTCATGCAGACTGGTTCAAGTGCATTTCCACTTGGAGAAACAACCTTCTCTCTCTCCAAGCACTCAGCCAAGGTCCATCCTTGCTTTGGATTCCCATGAACTCAGTGCAGGTGCAGAGTGACTCCGCTTGGTCCCACCTCTGCCCCTGTTTTGTTTGGACACGCAGAGTTCACGGCCAAGAGGGCCAGGACCCGGGCTTCTTGTCTTTGGGCTTGTCCCATGCGCTTCCAGAGGACTTGGAATATTGAAACCAGACAGATTCTGAAACACCTGCTCCTGGTGCTGCCACAGTGCCCATACACTGGCACTGCAGGCATGGCCTGCACTGAATGGCCAGTGCAGCAGGAGCCGTGGCTGCGGTAGCTGCCAGGATTGCTGCAGAGATGATCCAAGCAATCAGTCATCCACTGAGGATTTCCGGATTTAACAGTTTCCTTAATTCACTGTATCCTGCATCATCCTCCCAGCTTCTGCTTAGGACTGGGAGCCACAGTTTGGCTCTTCTGCCATGGGAATTATTAATGATAAATCAAGGCTAGATACATTTTGATCTGTGATACAACTAAAATAACAAGGATTACTTACAGGGGTGTCAAAGGTATTGTCAGTCACACGAATCACAACGTCAGGTGTGGCCAAGAAGGGTCTGAGTGACAGGGACACACACCATGGCTGAGTCATTAAGCCAGTCAGTAAGAGCTGGTAGACCCAGTGAATTCCCCCTGGAACAGTGTCTTCCCGATGGGACATCCGGGCAGGGCTTGCTCTGCTCAGGATTCCCTGCCTCCTCCCGGGATTCTTGAGGGACACCTAAAGGCAAGTCCTGACCAAAGGAGACCTGCCACGACCCCGAGTCCTGGCAAGGGTGCTGCCCGTCTCCTGCCCCAAAGAGCTGTGCCCCCGGGGGACTTCTCTGCCAGAGGGCAGCCAAAGCCAAGGGGCACTGAGGTCTGCCCTCTTGCCAGTGGCTGTTGGGAGCGGCAGCTGGAGCAATTGGTGGCAAGACTTGGCATCTGTCAGAAGGCAGAAGCTGTTGTTCCTTCCTGGCATGATTTTTGGGTGGAAGTGATTACCAGCAGCACAAAACCACAGTGCTTATTTGCCTCCACCCCTGAAGCTCCGCCACATGAGGCCCTGCTTTGCTTCAGCTTCTGCTGCTTCTTCCTTTGTTGCCCTCAAGTGCTGGACGTAGAGTTTAGAAGCCCATGGCCGTGTTTTGAAGGTGCCTGCGTGGAGGAGAGGTTGAGCAGCTGCAGCCCGAGGCTGGTGTCCCAGCAGAGTCTCTAAGGATGGCACCAATGGCGCTGGCTGGGGACAGCTGAGTGTGGAAGGCACGTCCAGCCTCAAGCAGGGCCATTGAAGTCAGTCAGGAGGACAGGCTGCAGCTGAAGCTGCCCAGGGTTGCTGTGAGGCTGGGGAGTCACTGGAAAGCTGTGGTGGCCACTTGGCCTGAAGCCTTTTGCCAAAGCGGGTGCAATTGTGCCCAGAGTCTGGCCACTTTTGGCGTCCTGGCGGGTGTGGGTGCTGGGTGAGGAGGCCCAGGCGTTGTGGGTGCTGCTGCTCCTGGGCAGCCTCTGGTGCTGTTGTGTGTGGGGCGCGGAGCCGCTTGGGCAGCAGTGAGTGCACAGGCCTGCCCGAGGAGTTCAGCGCCCTGCCCGTGGTGGCAGCAGCTCTGCGGGCCCAGAGCTCTGGCTCAGCGGGGTGTCGGCCACAGCCCCGTGGCCTGGGCAGCCGCGGGGGCCCGGGCTGGCCGCCAGCCCTGCCCGTGCCACTGCCCCTGGCCGGCAGCACCCGGCAGACGTACCCCAGCAGGGCCCCCTTGCCCTCCTTGTCCCCAGCCAGGCCAGCCTGGCCCCCTTGGGGCTGTGCCCACCCTGCTGCTGAGGCCTCCAGGGTTTCTGCCACAGGGCTGCGAGATGCCTCGGGAAAGCACCAGAGCAGCCGGCTGGCAGGGAAGGAGGTGGTTGCCTGGGGGCTGCCTATGGCCTCTGCCCCCCAAGTCCTGGGACCTTTTCCCTCCACCCTGCCCCTCGGGGACTCTGCCCAGTCTGTCCCCTCGCAGCCTTCTGCCACCCACCCCCTCCCAGATTCCCCTCAAGGCTTCCCGCTCCCTTGTCCCATCAGGGCCTCTGCAGCGCCTCACCCCTTCCTGGCCTCCCAGCGCCCCCTCCCCTGCGGGTCTCCCCCAGCCCCGCCAACCTGCCCGGCAGTGGCGCAGCCCTGAAGGAGCTCCAGAGGAGCCGCTCCAGAGGCACTTGGGAGCCCGGAGCAATCCAGCCAGCAACACACAGGCAGGACACAGACGCTGCTTCCTGGCTGGGGGAGGGCTTGTGGCCATCTCCAAGGACAAAGTCCTCAGGGATCCCCACACCTCCAGCCTCTGCCCCTCCACTCTGCTGCAAGTGTTGAGGCTCCAGGAGAGCCACCAAAGGCCAAGGGGCTTCTGCTCACTTTTGCTGGCACGCTGCACAGCAGGGCAAGTGTTGCTGAGCACAAGGAGCCCTTTTCCCCTCTTCCCCAAGGCCCTGTGCACACTGGGCACCAAAAAAAAGCTCCTGGGCCTCTGTTTGTGATAATACATATGATATATTCCCTGCTGGGCTCAAAGGAAGTGCTTGCAGGGAAGAAGCATCTTCCCCACAGGCTCACGTGGCCCCAGGAGATGGAGCTTCCCGCATCAGTTCTCCACAGAGCTGCAGCAGCACAGGCAGACACTGCCCTGCGGAAAAGGCCGGGTCTTCCACACCCTGCACAGCCAGTCTTGGAGCCACTGGAATCTGGAGTGGGGAGCCGTCTGTACAGCTCTTTGCACGTAGCAGTGTTGAATTGCCAGGCCTGCCATGGCGAGTCTGATGTCACCTGTCACGCCTCTACGGGCTGGAAGAGGCAGGAATGGAGACTACCAGAATGGGAAGAATGGAGTTCTCCGTACAGCTCTGATGATGTGGAGAGTTTGAAGTGCCAGGTTTGAGACAGCAGGGGTGTCATCAGTCATGCCTTGAAGGGCTGGAAGAGAAAGGAAAGAGAGTCAAGGTGAGAGGCCAGGGGTGTGGGGAGGTGAGGAGCCCCTCCTGCCCGGGCCATCCCAGCCAGCTCTTGCCATGGCCAGGAGGGAGCAGGGCCCAAGGGGATCAGCTGGAAGGTGCCTTCCCTCACCCTGGCAGATGAGCTGCAGCTCTGGCTGCTCCTGCTTCATGGACCTGGCGGCGATCCCTGGGAAGACAGAGGCTGTCAGGGCCCCAGAGGCACAGGTCCCCCCCATGGGGACGCCCCAGGGCTGGGCTGGCCCAGGGCGGCAGCAGGCCCCAGGCCACTCGGGGCTCCACATGCCCTGGGCCGCATCCTGCTGCCGCTGCAGCAGCCGGGGCTGGGGCCGAGCTGCAGCGGGGCGGGGAGGGACCCCGGCCTTGTGGCTCACCCAGGAACTTGATGGCCAGCTTTCGCAGGGGCTCCTCTGGGCTCTCCAGGTACGGCAGGGCCTGCCGCACGTACTGGCCCACTCGGCTCCTGTCCTTTTCCAGCTGCAAAGAGCGCCAGGGCAGGGAGGGAAGGCTCGGCTCAGGCTCTGCCCCTTGGCCGGGCGCTCCCTGCCCCCAGCACGGGGCTCCCCTGCCCGCAGAGCCCTGAGGCCCGGCCAGCAGCCGCTGGGGCCGGGCTTTGGGGGGAGCAGAGGGCTGGGTGCTCCTGGGGAGCCAGGGACTGGGGCTTTGGGGCCGTCCTTACCAGGCACTCGCCAAACCTCCAGGGCTGCTCCCTGGTCACCAAGTGCTCAAGATCCCTCCACTTTAGGAACCTGGCTGCACCAAACAGTGCTTCCCGAGAGGCCTGCAGAGCAACAGAGAGCGGGCCATGGCACCGCAGCCCAGGGCACAGCACCCGCATCCCTGCACCAAGGCCAGGAGGAGGCTGCAGGCGACCGTGGGCCAGGGCAGGTGGCACAGCAGCCTCCTGCCATGGGGACACCAGAGCCCACGAGTCCTCACCTCTGCCACACGCTGGTTCTCATCGTGCCAGTTGAAGTAGAATGGCACCAGCCTCAGGTAGATGTGTGGCTTTAGGCTCTTGCTCCTCTCTGTTGCCTGCATCACCTCCCGGAAGAGGACCATGGAGAGCTGCTGCAGCTGGCTGTGCTCCTGCTGCAAAGGAAGAGCAAAAGACCTCAGCCCTGGCTTCTCCAGGCCCACTGGGGCACAGGCCTGAAAAGACACTGGGCCCAAAGTTTCCTGGCAGCACTCAGTGCCCACGATGAGGGACACAGAGCCTTACATTGTCAAAGAGTGGCCGCAGCACATCAAGAATCTTCAGGGCAGTGGGGCTGGATATTTGGATGATTTTCAAGCGGAGCACATTGATCAACGCAGAGAGGGTCATCTCAACCGCGTCTGTGTCTGCATCCTGCAGTAGCTCCAGGAGGCCTTCATTCAGGCTCCAGATGCTCTTAGCCTGTGTGGAAGACAATGCTGTGGTGCAGCCCCACGCTGCTGCTGCGGGGCCCAGAGGCCAAAGGCGCGTCCCAAAGGAGTCGGGCAGCTGAACGGGGAGGAGGAGAGCTGGGAGCAGCTGGCACAGCTGCCAAAGGCCAGCCAAGGCCAAGCTACTGCCTTGCACAGCCGCACGCTGCCAGCCCGGCTTCAGCCCCTGCCCCCTGCTCACCAGTGCGGGAGCCTTGCTGATCACCACCAGGCCTCGGAGCGCCAGGCGACGCCTCTCGGGGCACTCACTGCGCAGGCGCCTTGAAATAACCTGCAGGACGCTGAGCCCACATTGTCTGGGGTTCAGGCAGTGCAGCACCTGAAAGGCAGGGAGCAGTGACGGGGTGCCCGGCCGGCAGGAGCCCGGACCCGCCCGGGGCTGGGCCCAGGCAGCAGCACAGGGTGCAGGCACCGTCCCAGGCGGCTGCGGCTGTGAGAGGGCAGAGAGGGGGAGGCAGCTGGGCCAGGCAGCGCTCGCCATCAGGCTCACCTCCACCAGGAACGCCAGGGCAGGCAGTTCCCACAGGGGCTCTTCCCTGCTGAGCCGCGGGAGCAGGTTGGCGGCGACGCTGCGGCAGAAGGAGTGGGAGACACGGCACAGCTCCCTGCAAGGGGGAATAAAGGCACCAGAGACCCTGAGCCAGGTGGGTAAAGCTCCCCTGGGACTCACTCACACAGGCCTGATCTTTGGCCACCAGCCCAGGAGGGGACATGGGCGCTTTGGGAGGTGGCTCCTCCTGTGCAGCCACCCCTCTCCGCCTTTGCCACTCTGCTCAGCCATCCCTGGCTGCCAAGGCCCTCTGGCCCAGCAGCACGGGCACTGTGTGGGGTGGCCTGTGCACAGGGCAGAAATGCCGGGGGCAGTGGGGAGAAAGGGCTCTCACCTGGCCAGCAGACCCACTGCATAGTGGTGGGTGTCAGCCTTGAGGAGCATGTCCCAGCCACACTTGCGATGGATCACCATCACCACGTCCTCATCCAGCAGCTGGCGCAGCAGGGCTTTGACGGTCTGCACTGCAAACCTGTGTGCAGAGCACAGCCCAGGTCAGGCGCAGAGCCCCGGCCCCAGCCCCGAGGGCGTGGTAGGGAGAGAGGACTGGGATGGAGCACCTGTTGGGGTTGGGGGGAAGGCTGCGCTGCTCCCGGCATCGCCCCCAGAAGGTCTCGACCTCCTCTGACATCTCCTCTGTGCTGATGAAAACTTGGAAGAGCAGAGTCAGAAGGAGGCGGGGCAAATTGGTCTTCACTGCCCCTGGGCACCAGGGGAGCTGGAGGATCTCCCAGAGTGCCACAGTTGCCTGCCAAAGACAAAGCACCCAGAGACAGCTCTCAGGGCCCAGATGTCCATGTGGTAGGGCCCCAGCATGGCAGGGAGAGGCCAGGGGAGATACAGGGGGATCCCCCGGCCTGCTGGCCCTGAACCTGCCCCTAAGCCAGGGTTGCAGCCTGGTGCCTGAGGCAGGGAGAAGCAGTGGTGAGGGAGGATGAAAAGGTATCCCAGAGGCAAGCTGGGGGTGAGCAGAGGCCAGCTCAATAAACTCACAGCCAGGGCAAAGACATCGCTCTCATCCCCATCCGAGGTGCGTGTCCTGTGCGCTGGCCAGAATTCCAGCGCACGGAAGAGGATCTGCAGCACCGGCTCCTTAGTCCCTCTGGAGGAGATGAGCGTCCTCCACATGGTGCGAGCAGCTCTGTGGAGTCAGAACTCTGGCTCAGGGGGGTCTGGGACACAGCGCTGTGGCCTGGGCATCTGCAGGGCCCAGGTGACAGAGCCACGGTGCCTTGTGGGGCAGGGAGGCAGGCTGGCCTCAGGATTGGGGGCTTGACATGCCAAAGCTGGCAAAGAGAGGAGCTGGAGTGTCCTGGAAGTCTCCATCTCTCTGGCACACCATTTGGGACAGGCTGTGCAGGGGGATGGGGTCTAAAGGCAGGGGAGCCCTCAAGGCAGGTGGGCCCCATACCTGTCACAGGCTGGGGCAGAGCGCAGCAGGGTCACTGCAACATCCACAGGGTGTGCCTCGGTCAGCAGGACAAGAGTCTTGTCCAGCCTGTGCTCAGCAGACACATTGGACGTGAGCCACTGGTGGATGCACCTGACTATGGCCGGCACCTGGAGGGGACATGGGGAACAGTTGGAGAGCTGCCAGAGCCAGCAACTTGCCCAGCTTCCCCCAAGAAGTGCTCCCCTTGCCACCACACTCTGCTGCTCTCAAAGGCTGGGGGGGCCCAGCGCAGACGGCGTGAGGGGCCACAGCATCCCTGGGGCACTGGAGCCCTGGCTACAGGCTGCTTACTTGCTTCCCTGTGTAGACACCGCTCTCCACAAGCAAATCCAGCAGGGCAGCGCTGGTCTGGGCATTGAAGAGGTCCCAGTTTGCCGTGCCCCCAGTGGCCATGAAAGTGGTCTCTTCACGCCAAATGCACCTGATGAATCTGCAAACCAGCTACAGGAGGAAGGCAAGGAAGAGATGGATGTCCCCTGGAGGGCTGCAACAGCGGTGCTGGGCTGAGCAGTGACAGCAGGCCCAGCCCAGGAGGGGATGGCTGCAGGTACCTGTGCTGCCCTGCGGAAGCGGCCACGGGCACGGAGCTGCTCTTCTGTCCGCTCCTGGCCTGCATCTGGCAAAGAGCGAGCGCGCTCAGAGCTGAGGGTGTGCGGGAGAGGCCGGAGAACACAGCCCAGGCCTGGGCTCCAGGAGCAGGAAGGATGCCCAGTGGATGGAGCACGGCTGCCAGGAGATCAGCCCCGGCCCCTCTGCCCCCCTCCCTTTCCCTGGGCATGTCCAGAGGGGATGGGACAGGATGAGGCCAAGGGGGCTGCAGCCACCAGCCCTGTGGCCCAGCTCCAGCACTCACCCTCCTGTGGGGGCTGCACCTGCTGCACCTCTTCAGGCTGCTGTGCTGCAGCAGCCCCAGGGCTTTCCTCCTCCTCCTCCTCCTTCACCCAGGCCAGCTTGGGCACCGTGGGGGGGCTCTGCTGCACGTCTCTGTCTGGCGTTATGGCTGCCTGCAGCAGAGATGCCATGGAAAAGCTTTGACTCCCCAAGTCCTGCAGTCGTGCCTTGAAGGCAGCTGCAAGAGAGAAGCCTTGGAAATGCTCCGCCTCATCCAGTCCCACCCTCTGGCCTCGAGGGCACCTGCCCCAGGGACTGGAGATGCCTTGAGTAGCCCCAGGTGCCCAAGTGCCACAGTCTGGCCTGGAGGATGCACGGGGGAGAGGTGGAGAGCTGCCAGAGTGAGCAACTTGCCCAGCTTCCCCCGAGAAATGCTTCCCTTCCCAGCACACTGTGCCCGCCTCAAAGGCTGAGGGGGCCCAGCACACCCATCTTGGGGG